GCTGGAGTCGGGGGCGTATGACCGGTCCTTTCGGCACGAGGTCTGGCGGCAAATAAAAAGTTTTTGAAAAAAAAAAATTTTTTGAAAAAAAAAAAATTTTTGGGTCAAAATTTAATAATTTGTGAAATTTGGGGTCAAATTGAGATTAAATTAAGTTAAGGATGAAATTGGAGCATATTAAATTATACTCCAAAAAAAAGTCAAAATTGAATTTTTGTGGTCAAAATTGAACTTTTATGGACAAAATTGATTAATTTGGATTACAATTAAGAATTGGGTATAAATGATTGAGGGTAATATTGGGATATACATGAATGTTTCCTTTAGTTATAATAAATATTAAAGGGATGGGCTTATTGGTGAAAGAGATATGTCCCCTATACCTAGAATAATAAACATGCTTGGTTGGGGACTTTTGCATAAAAATCCCCAAAAAAAAAAAAAAAAAAAAAAATCCAACGTTAAAACCCTAACAATACCTACTAGATTTTCTCCTCCAGCTGAGCTGAATTAAACTCGGAGCAGCAGCAGAAGAAAAATGGCGTCGCTAGCTTTGTCTGGTACCAGCCTCTTCAATCCCCATAAAACCCCTCATTACACTCCTAAAACCCCATCGTCAATCGTGAGTTTTTTTTTTCTCTTTCCTCTTGAACAATGCTCGCTCGCTACGTAAATTGTGTCTGATCATTGTTTTTCTTTTGAGATTTGACGCTGTTGTTGTTGTTTTTTCTGCAGCGATGTGATAAATTGCCGGAATCGGTGAGGTGCAGGGAAAATGGGAAACCAGTAACCGTCGGTCGTGAATATAACGGTCAATCGTCTCCGTCGTTTCCCAGCTTCTTGACCACCCCCAATCGATTGTTACTCGACAGATTCTCCGACCCGAAAGCCGACACGCGGCTTCGTATTTTCTCCGGCACCGCCAATCCTTCTCTATCGCAGGTATTTATTTAATTTTTTGTTGCCGTGAGTATATATATATTTTTTTTGTGGTGGTTGTTGAGCTTTTGTGCATCCTTGAAAATTGGTGTTTGCTGGAATTTGTTTGCTCCATAGTTATTTTGTTATAGGGGTATTGTAGACGCGAATACATTGCAGTATAGAATGTCTTGAAACGATTGAAAGGAAAGTTGCGTATGAAGGCCACGAATTATGTAAATCGATTCGGTCCTGTCTCTAATCTTTCTGAAGTTATCTGATTCGGAATTGAATTGTAGAAGTTGTGACCGTTTGCAGTTTTGCTAATGCTCGCGCAGTTGTACAATTCTAAGTTTACCAGGAAATGAAGGAGAAATTTAACTTATGTTCTCTCCAAAATCCTAGTAACCGTAGTAGTTTATGTTCGGTTTATCAATGTTGAAATTGATTGTTCAATCGTATACTTAAATGATTTGATCCCTTATTCTCCTCAAAGCTTCAGACTACTGTTTCTTTTAGGGTATTGCCATAATATTGTAGTTGCTGTAGATTTTTAACTCATTGTAACGAAAATAAAGTTTGATTGCATTATTTAAAGTTTGATATTCAGACAATGTGTAAATGAGATGATTGTTACGGTTTAAGTTTCTTGTTTTTTTTGTTTTTCCATACTTACTTTATCTTTTTTATTCTCTCATTTGAGTTGGTATTAATGGAAATTCTTGATACAGGAAATTGCCTGTTATATGGGTCTTGAGCTTGGTAAGATTAAGATCAAACGCTTTGCTGACGGGGAGATTTACGTTCAGTTACAGGAGAGTGTTCGTGGATGTGATGTGTATCTTGTGCAGCCCACATGTCCTCCAGCAAATGAAAATCTAATGGAGCTATTGATAATGATTGATGCTTGCCGTCGGGCATCAGCCAAAAATATTACCGCTGTTATTCCTTATTTTGGATATGCGCGGGCTGACCGAAAGGTAAAAATCATGCATAGTTGTTTAGGTATTTATGTGAATTTCTTATGTTTGAAATTTTCATTCCAAAATATTGTACACTCTCTAAAATATCACTCTCTTTGACATTTGCCTTTAGGGATATCCTACAGATAATGGAGCTACTATAGTACTTAAACTTTAGCTCTTAGAAGCTCTGTAAGGAACCGTATAGGGCTCAAAAACCTTCATAGCATTGCAGCTTTCCTGACCTTAACCATCACAATGTTGACATGAGAAATAAACACTCAGTTGCCACATGTAACTGGGGTATCGTAAATTCTTAAAGCATCCCTATCTTTCTATCTTCCTTAGTGTGATTTTGTTTATTTTACATATTCGGTTTAGCTGTACAACGTAAAATAAGTTGGAATATATAAATCTATCGTTGATTTTGGCGGTACATTTTGATTTTTTTTTTTTTTGTTATCCTCTATTTGAATGGTGTACTTTGTAATTGATTTTGCATCTATGCATTTGTATAGAAGAATTTAAGTTAACAAGACGATACTCCAAAATATCATGGTACTAGTCTATTCAAAACTCTGATATGTGAAATAGTAGTAGTTGTCCACTTCTGGTTTAGATGCTGCCCTATTTATATTCATTTGCTTCACCTATTTGATTTTGTTATGAATATGTACCATCATTTCAGACTCAAGGGCGTGAATCAATTGCAGCCAAACTTGTAGCAAATTTGATTACCGAAGCAGGTGCAGACAGGGTTCTGGCATGTGATCTTCACTCTGGACAGTCCATGGGATACTTTGATATTCCAGTGGATCATGTGCATGGCCAGGTAAATAAACCTTTTCCTCATTTCATCATCATTGAATAAAAGTAAAGTACATCTGTCCCAATAATATTGGCCTTTTGAAATGTTATAAGTGATTATTTGAAGTATATCAAAGTGTAACAATCTTGAAACACCATTCATAATGTGATCATAGCATGATTTAATAAATCTTTAATTCGACGTACAATTGCATTCTTGTTTCATTGTTGCTCTACAAGTGATTTTTAGGTGACTGGATATTCAGTATCGGTATATTAAAGTCAATTTACTCTTTTGCAGCCTGTGATACTTGATTATCTTGCCAGTAAGACAATAAGTTCCGATGATTTGGTTGTGGTCTCACCGGATGTTGGTGGGGTCGCTAGAGCAAGAGCTTTTGCAAAGAAGCTGTCTGATGCTCCTCTAGCTATTGTGGATAAAAGGCGTCATGGGCACAATGTTGCTGAGGTTGTCCTTTGAACTATACGTACTTCTTAGCGTACCCCGTGCTAATGGCTCTAGAGTATATTACTTTTTTCTTGGATTAGCTAAAACTACTAGGAAGATAATTGAATTATAAATTTGGTTGGTGCAATTTATGAGATGCTCGCCAAATACTATAAAAAAAGCTAGTGTACCTGTTTTTCTCAGTTTTGCATGTGACGTGTTCTCATTCTACGAGTGACTAACTGACCTGACATATATGTTTGAACTCTGCAGGTCATGAATTTGATCGGGGAAGTTCGGGGGAAAGTGGCAGTGATGGTAGATGACATGATCGATACTGCTGGTTAGTTGTTGACTTTTCTAATACAATAGGAATTCAATAAAGATAGAAGTACGCAAAGATATAACATATTAACATGGTTTAACCTTTTGGCCTGCATAGTCAAACACACAAAATGGCTACCAAACTTACATTTTAACGATGATTTCTTTTTCTCCCGACTGATCACGAGGTTGACATGGTTGGCGATTCTAGGTCGTTTTTGTGCTGGAATAGTTTAATGCTTTTGTTTATTCTTTGTTACTCTTAGAAGTGTCCATTTAAGTCCTCGTGTTCCGTTGTTTCCTAAGGGTATTACTGTTTGTTGCTCGGACCCAATATTTCTGTATCCGTGTTTTCTAAAGTGTTTTCTGTTTTCCAGTCTTGATTGTTGTTATAATGGTTGATAACGAAACACGGTGCAAATGCTTTTCAGGAACTATTGCAAAAGGAGCTGCTCTATTACATCAAGAAGGGGCTAGGGAGGTTTATGCTTGCACCACTCATGCCGTTTTCAGGTAATAGATCCATTTTTCACGTCGACCCGAATGATGTTTTACTCTTTGTCTGAAGTGTCGACGACCGACGCACAACTGTCTGAAGCCATGTGTAAATTTACTCCTGAGTTTTGACATTACTCTTTTATTGCAGTCCTCCAGCCATAGAGAGATTGTCGAGCGGACTATTTCAAGAGGTTATCGTAACAAACACCATTCCAGTAGCGGAGCACAACTATTTTCCACAGCTCACAATCTTATCTGTGGCTAACCTTTTGGGAGAAACTATATGGCGTGTGCATGATGATTGTGCTGTAAGTACTCTTGTAGTTAACCGTTTGTTATTATATCTAAACAAAAGACGACCACAGTAATAATTTAACTGCGCCTCCTCTATAAAAAGCCTCGAATAAGAGATCCGTTTCTTCAATGACGGGCAGAATGGTCCCTGCTTATTTTTTTAGCCAAGGCTACTAATTTAAGGGTTTTTATTTGCTATATTTTTTCCGTGTTCAATGTTCTGACGTTGGTAATTATCAGGGTGGTTTTGAACCGTACTCGAGCTTGGGAATCGACTGATGAATTTCTTACCGCTTTCTACGTTCAACTTTGAAGTTGCAGTTTTGCATTAATCAATTAAAATGGTAGTTGTGTTGTACAAATTTGTTGACCAATCTGATATTAGTATTTGTTACAAATGGAATTTGTTTGTGTAAATGTCAATTCACTGCTTTTTTTTAGCAATAATACTTTAAATTGGTTTTGGTGAAGTTCACTTTCTGAACTGAACCTATTATTTTCTTTCTTGAATTGGTTTATGTATTTTTAAAAAATATTGGTGAACACAGATGAATTGTATTTTATAAGAAATGGTATCTTTCATATTAGTGAAGGTAAAATTAAATAATCTAATGAAAATTCAATTATTTTATTGGAGCCCAGGATACATAATAAATTAAGTCGTAATAATATAATATTTGATGGTCGATCCCGCAAGAAAGATAAGATAAATTAAGTCGTAATAATATAATATTTGATGGTCGATCGTGCAAGTTATTTTGGATACTCAACGGCAAACAAAGTTCAATTATTTAGTGAATCATACTTAATCTTTAATTTTGTCCAGTTCCATTTACATATTTGTTTATATATTGCGTGGTTATTCAATTCGGGCCTGCCATCAAGTGAAACGGGCTGGCCCATAAATTGTAAATTAATTATATTTTAAAAAATGAAGTTGCAGAGAGTTTAGTAAGATAACTGACGAGGCCCGGTGAGAGATCACCAGCGAGCAGAAAGGTTGCCAATGGCTACTAATCGGAGCCCCGAAATCCGGAAAGACGCCGTCCACAACCGGTGGGTGATATTTTCTCCGGCCAGGGCCCGCCGGCCGTCGGACTACAAGTCCAAGCACGACCCGAAAACGAAAACCCAGACCGAATGCCCCTTCTGCGCCGGCCACGAGCACGAGTGCGCGCCAGAGATATTCCGGTTCCCGCCCGAATCTACCTCCGACTGGAAAATCCGCGTCATACAGAATCTCTACCCCGCTCTCAGCCGCCAATTGGATCCCCCACTAGATACCGAATTCGGCGCCGGTCCGGTCACGGTTCCCGGGTTCGGGTTCCACGATGTGGTGATCGATTCGCCGGCCCACCCGGTTCACCTGACTGATCTTTCCCCGCCGCAATTGGCCGACGTTCTGCTCACTTATAAGAAGAGGATCGACCAGCTCCGCGCCATTGATTCCGTTAAATATGTTCAGGTTCTTCTTTTTCAATTTCCCCAATTAAAAATATTATAATTTGAAAATAAAAGATTTCAGAATTGTTTGTTTATTTATTAATTAATTCATTGTGTTTGAATTATTACTTTTAAATGTCAAAATCAATGTTAATTCTGAATTATCTGCATATATTTGAGGAACTAACACGAAATGCTTGGAGTTGGAGTAACATTGTTTTTTAGAACTAAATTGCATTAGTTTAAGTTTGTGAGTGTTTTTCGATCATCGGAAGAGTTCGGAACATCAAATACTAGTTAAGTTATATGTCGAAATTTTACATTACTACCAGTTAAATACTTAATGTTGCTTGTTACATGCAGGAGAAACTCGATAAATTAATAACCTCGCTTAAATAATAGTTTCTTCTCGTCCCGACTCGGTAAAAACCTACTAAATTATTAGTTCGATAATTTAATATTCCGCTAAATTAATAGAATTTTGCTAGTCCCAATTGTATTCATTTATAGAGGTTTAACTGTATATAGGTATTCAAAAACCTCGCTTAAATAATAGTTTCTTCTGGTCTCGACTCGGTAAAAACCTACTAAATTATTAGTTCGATAATTTAATATTCCGCTAAATTAATAGAATTTCGCTAGTCCCAATTGTATTAATTTATGAGGTTTAACTGTATATAGGTATTCAAAAACCACGGTGCCTCGGCCGGAGCATCTATGAGCCACTCGCACAGTCAAATTATGGCACTTCCGATTATTCCACCCACCGCTTCTGCAAGAATCGATAGTACGAAGGAATATTTCGCGCAAACAGGGAAATGCGGCGTCTGCCAAGTTAGAAAAGACGATCTGTTAATTGATCAGTCGAGCCATTTTATATCCGTCGTACCTTTTGCCGCCACTTATCCTTTTGAGATATGGATAATCCCGCGTGATCACTCTTCTCATTTTCACGACCTCGATAATGATAAGGTAATAATATTTGCATTATTCATAACTAGATATTGATAACTTGTCGGTTGAATCGGTTTGGATTCAATTATCAAGAAAATGAGTCTATGCTATTTAAATTACTCGATTGTGAATCTGTGATGTGTGTTACTATTTTCTCGGAAACTTGGGCATTTTTGTTCTTTATTATTAAGGAGCTTTCAATAAACTAGATATTGATAACTTGGGGGTTGAATTGATTTGGCTTCGATTATAAAGAAAATAAGGTATGCTATTTAAATTGCTCGATTGTGGTGTGTATTACTATTTCCTCGGAAACTCGGGCATTTTTTGTTCTTTATTATTAAGGAGCTTTTAATAAACTAGATAATGATAACTTGTTGGTTGAATCGGTTTGGCTTCGATTATAAAGAAAATAAGGTATGCGTTTTAAATTGCTTGATTGTGATGTGTATTACTATTTTTCTTGGAATCTCAGGCTTTTTGTTTCGTTGTTAATTATTAAGGAGATTCGTTTGATTGTTTTCGATTTTTTTTTTTGGTTGAATTTCACAGGCAGTGGATCTTGGGGGATTGTTGAAACTTACGCTTGCGAAGATGTGTTTGCAGTTGAACGAGCCGCCTTACAATTTAATGATTCACAGCGCTCCACTTCGGATTGACTCGACACAATTACCTTTCACTCACTGGTTTATACAGATAGTTCCTCAACTCACAACCGTAGGTGGGTTCGAGTTAGCAACGGGGTGCTACATAAACCCCGTTTTACCAGAGGATGCTGCAAAAGTTTTGAGGGAAGTAATTATTCCAAATTAGATGATTAATTATTTACGTAATTTGCAATATTTTGTTGATTTACCGAGTATTAATGTTTATAAGTCCGGTTTGAACCCGAATTCTGAGATAATACATGAGCCTAGTTTGAACCGACAACTATAAAACCAAAGCTCAACTCGCATGGATCGACTATCAAAACGCCGTTATGTCGGGATATCTTATATGACTCTCCGGGAAAATGGTCTCCGGAAAAAAATTGAAGTTCCAATTTTTATTTTCCTCTCCACTCGGACCAACCGACCTACTCGACTTCTTTTGTTAAAGTAATTTGAGTATCTATCTCAATGATACTATTCTTCCGTACCATTATGGAAGAAGATCCGGGTAAGATATGTTCTTACTCGAGAATGAAAAAAAAGTCGATCTACTTTCATTTGGTATTTTGGCCTAAATTTCTTGAATCCATCTATTTTTCTTAAATATTATTTTGTAAGAAAAATAATATTTTTTTTTGGCTTTATTTACGTACAAAACTTAGAATGGTCATTTTAAAATTGGCATTGTAAATAATATTTCAATATTTTAAATATCAGTTTCCATTACAAATTTCAGAAATTATTATAATGAAAGGTCAAAATTAGAATGATGGGTGTAAACGAGCCGAGCTCGAGCTAGATTTTAAATGTCATAATTCAAGGAGGTGAACGCCGAAATATTAAATATTTAGGGTGTGGTTATCGAAAGATCATATAGTTCGGGGGGTGGATGCAAATTACCAAGAAAAAGAAAAGAAAATACCATTATTTGGGCCCGTAAATTTTATCAACGTCTCTATAAAAAGCCCATCCGAAAATGGGCCGTTATGTAAAGCCCGATTAGATGATCCGAACCCCAATCGAACACCTTTACCTCAAAACAAATAAATAAAAACCCTAAAACCGCTGAACTCTTTCTCTCTCTAAACGCTCAAGCACACTTTTATCTGCAAATCTTCATCTTCCCCGCTGGCTATCTCGAATCGAGGCGCATATACGTATAGATACAGACGCATCTACACGTGCGGAGCTACAATCCACCAACCATGGCGGATGTTATGACCATGGAAGCAATTCACGCCACCGCCGACCGCCTCAATATCGACCTCTCCGCCCTCGATTTCGATTCCATTCACCTTCCTCCGTCCGAAGATTTCGGCATCGCCAGGTAGAGATTCGCGAATTTATGCTGTATTTATTGCTTTTTTTTTTGGTTTAACACTTGATTGTTTGTTGATTTTATTTTTTTCGGTGTTTTAGTGATGACGATGATTTGAAAGGGGAGGAATCGTTGGAGTTCGAGGAGGGATTTGGAAACATAATTGTGGTGGATAATCTGCCGGTTGTGGCTAAGGAGAAATTCGAGAAATTGGAAGGGGTTGTTCGCAAAATCTACAGTCAGATTGGGATTATTAAGGAAGACGGACTCTGGATGCCTGTCGACCCTGACACCCAGAAAACCCTAGGATATTGTTTCATTGAGTATAACACTCCTCAGGTAACATATGTTTATCATTGTTCATACAGTTGTATTTTAAGAATTTATGAGAATGTGATTTATTAGATTTTAAATGTAAAAATACTTGCTTTGTTTAGATGTGAGTCATCATACTGATATTTTTAGGGTATTCGCTCGCTCTTGTGGGATTAAATTATTTTTTTCCTTTTTGTTGTTTTCTTGATCATTGTTGGCTGTTGAATTATGTTAGATCTGGACTGCATACAAGAATTGCTGAAGAGATAATGAACATAGTTACCTGAACAAGTTATTGCATTTTATTTTGGAAATATAAGTTAGGCATGCAACACATGCTAATGTGCGAATTGTCATATTCTTATAAGACTATGTAGAATTTAATTTGGAATTTAACACATGTTTTGATTTTAGGAAGCTGAGTTAGCTAAAGAGAAGACTAATGGATACAAGTTGGACAGATCTCATATCTTTGCTGTCAATATGTTTGATGATATTGAAAAATTTATGAAAGTACCGGAGGAGTGGGCACCCCCAGAAGCCAAACCTTATACCCCAGGGGTTTGTCACTCTCTCTCTCTCTCTCTCTCTCTCTCTCTCTCTCTCTCTCTCTCTCTCTCTCTCTCTCTCTCTCACAATACATACTAGACCAGAGCAGGCTGAAAGGAACTGGAGGAAATATCTCCTTTTATTATCAATTTCTTTCAATTATCTGAATGGATTTTATATTTCGTACAGGAGAATCTGCAAAAATGGCTGACTGATGAAAAGGCCAGAGACCAATTTGTGATCCATGCTGGCTCGGACACTGAGGTCTTGTGGAATGATGCAAGGCAATCAAAGCCCGAGCTTGTGTACAAGAAAACTGTAAGTGAACTTGAATTATGTGCTTGTTTGTGTGTACAAGCATGACCAAGCTTTGTGCTTGCATTTTGCAATATTTTCATTAAGAGAGAAGAGTGTTTATCATCAAAAGAATTTATTTTGTTAAGATGATTCTTGAGTAATTTTGCTTGCTTGGAGACCGAAATCTAGTTGCGTAACGTTTATTTAATTATGTTCTCTTGGTTGCAGTACTGGACAGAAAGTTTTGTGCAGTGGTCCCCATTAGGGACTTACTTGGCAACAGTACACAGGCAGGGGGCTGCAGTTTGGGGAGGTGCAACTGCCTTTAACCGTCTGATGCGTTATCCTCATCCACAGGTTGCTTTCCTCATCTGGTTCTGAATTTAGCTTTATTTCTACTCTAGTTCGTATGTTTAATTGTTGTGGATTGCAGGTAAAATTGATTGACTTTTCTCCTGGTGAGAGATTTTTGGTGACCTACAGCAGCCATGAGCCAAGCAATCCTCGCGATACTCATGTAACTTTCTACAACTCTCTTTTCTATTTATTGCTTTATGTTACTAGGATGATTTTATTGAATTGATTTTGTTGACAGAGGGTTGTGATAAACATCTTTGATGTGAGGACTGGGAAAGTTATGAGAGATTTCAAAGGCAGTGCTGATGAATTTGCCGTTGGTGGAACTGGAGGTGTTAGTGGTGTGTCCTGGCCTGTTTTCAGGTGATTTTTGATACATTTCTGTTTCCTCACTTATTTTTGTTCTTGAGATGCACACATACACATACACATACGGAGGTTTCTCTATTATCTGTTGTCTTATGATTACAAACTGTTCTAATTTTCAGGTGGGGTGGTGGAAAAGAAGACAAATACTTCGCAAGAATTGGGAAAAACGTTGTTTCTGTGTACGAAACTGAAACTTTTACGCTAATTGACAAGAAATCAATGAAGGTCGAAAATGTTGTTGACTTCAGTTGGTCACCTACCGATCCCATCCTTGCACTCTTTGTCCCCGAACTGGGTGGAGGGAATCAGCCTGCAAGGGTAAATTTGCAAAACTAACCTATAGATTTTCATTTCTATCCCTATTGAGATGTTTTTTATTCCATTATCTTACTTTCTATACTTCATTTAGGTGAGTCTTGTGCAAATACCTAGCAAAGAAGAGTTGAGGCAAAAGAACCTCTTCAGTGTTAGTGATTGTAAAATGTACTGGCAAAGTAATGGAGATTACCTCGCTGTTAAAGTTGATCGGTACACAAAAACCAAGAAGAGCACATACACTGGTTTTGAGCTTTTCAGGATCAAAGAAAGGGATATACCTATTGAAGTTTTGGAGCTCGAGAATAAGAATGATAAGATCATTGCATTTGCATGGGAGCCAAAAGGCCACAGGTTCGCGGTCATCCATGGTGAGCACCCGAAGCCTGATGTGAGTTTCTACTCGATGCGCAGTGCAACCAACACTGGTCGGGTTTCGAAGCTCGCTACTATTAAGGGAAAGCAGGCTAATGCCCTTTTCTGGTCACCAACCGGACGCTTCATTATTCTTGCTGGTCTGAAAACTTTGAACGGGCAGTTGGAGTTTTACAATGTCGATGAGCTCGAGACCATGGCACAAGCAGAGCATTTCATGGCAACAGATGTTGAATGGGATCCGACAGGAAGGTAATAGTTACTGACAGCTGTCACATCTGCTCAATATTTAGTAGAAAAATATTCACATATTTAATATTTAATATTTTTATCTGTAGGTATGTTGTGACAGCTGTCACGTCTGTTCATGAGATGGAAAATGGATTCAACGTGTGGTCCTTTAACGGCAAGTTGCTGTACAGAATACTGAAGGATCATTTCTTCCAAGTAAGTATTTTCCTTCCTTTTGTCGGCAATCACTTCTGGAGTGGTTATTTGATTATTTGTGAATATTCTTTATACATACATTAGAATGGTATGTCCTTTCTGCAAGTAAAAGGAGACTGACATTTTCTCTATAGACATAGAGTTTTGTTTTACGCTTCATTTTCGAATTTCATTTGGTTAATGATCAACTTTGGAATCTGTATACATGAAAATGGAATAGAGCTATAACTAAATATGCGTATTCCCATTTAATGTACAGTTCTTGTGGCGCCCGAGACCCCAATCTTTCTTGACTGCTGAGAAGGAAGAAGAAATTGCCAAGAATTTGAAGAAGTACAGCAAGAAGTACGAGGCTGAGGATCAAGACGTATCTATGCTCCTAAGCGAACAAGACCGCGAGAAGAGGAAGATGGTGAAAGAAGAATGGGCTAGGTGGGTGAACGAATGGAAGCGGCTTCATGAGGAGGATAAATTGGAGAGACAGAAACTTCGTGATGGGGAAGTTAGTGACGAGGAAGAGGAATACGAGGCCAAGGAAGTAGAAATTGAAGAGTTGCTGAATGTTTCAGAGGAAGTTATTACTGTTGACTAAATGTTTGGTAGAAAAATTTCAATCGCCTGAAATCTCGTTCAAACACGATTTTTGATTTTTTTGAGGTTGAGGCGAGGCCTGTCTCGCTTAGATAAAGATTTTTGTACGATTTACTGACCATAGCCCAACTTTTTTTTTTTTCACTAGTTAATTGATGGGATTTAATACTCTTTTGTAACAACTTTTCATCTTTGTTCTAGTGGTTTATGTTTTCCCTTGTTGGACTGTTAAAACATGGAAATTCTTTCTAGAAGCTGCTGGTGTTGGGTGATGTTTTGCTATTACTATGCGCAGTTGTGAGAATAAATTGCAATTGTTACTTATTTTTACAAAGAAAGGCAATTTAATAACAAATAAATATGGATTCGATGATATGGAAAATGTATAGGCAAGGTTTCAAGAATGTGTTCAATCCTTTCTCACATAGATAAGATTTTTGTACGACTAACCATAACCAACTTTATTGTCACTAAAGAGAGACTAAAGTTAAACCTTCTATAAATTAATACAGTCGGGACTAGAGAAATCCTATTAATTTAGTGAATTATTAAATTATCGAGTTAATAATTTTAACATATTTTCACCGAGTCAGGACCAAGAGAAACTATTAGTTAATCGAAGTTATCAATTTTTCGAGGTTCTACTGTAGCTAGATTTAGAGGGTTTTAAGTGTCATGAGCTCCAGTTTTAAGTGTATATGTAATTATGTATTACTCCGGTTTGCCAATTTGTGGGGAATTTATATGAAACTTATTAGAGGTAAGGTTAGGTTAATAAATCATAATTATAGATTCATTTTAATTTACATTTATGTATTACTTGTTGCAAAATGATACAAACTTAAATTAGAAGGCAAAAAAGCAGTAGTATCAAGTGTCAAGTGAATTGAGATGAGCATCTCTTGAGCTCAAACTGGTGGTGGTAACTAATAATATCCATGTTGGAAACAACCAACATACCAGAAAGCTCTTCTACCTTGTCAATTAGAAGCTTTAGCAGCGGCACTTTCGATAGTGTTCTGCACGATCCCACCATTACCAACTTCTTCTGTTGTAACAAGTCACAGAAAACAAGTCATCATCAATTATCGATGTTCCGTCAAATTAAAACTTCCAAAACTTGTCACCATTTTACGTCATTCAATTTGCATAATAATAAAGCACTTTCCATTAAATTAAAAAAAAAAAGAAAAAGAAAAAAAGTAGTATACAGAAAAGGATAGTAATAAATCTGAACCTTGGCACGTGTTAGTGCAACGTTGATCCTGTGCCAGTCTCCAAGCAGTGAAGTGTTACTTCTCGGGCTCTCACATGACCTTACGAAGGACACCAATATGCAGTCTTTGTCCCTTCCCTGTAACAGATTATTGAAGTTGAATTGTAGCACTAAATGATACAAACAAATAATGCTTCAAACTTAAGTAGAGTAAATCATATATTTTGTATCTAACCTGATATTTGTCTATCGTATGTATCTCTACGGGTTCTGAAACAGCTCCTCTAAGGAAATTTGCCTGAGAATTATATGGAGTAATAATGCCGATATCATGCGCTTCGATGCCTCTTAGCACCAACGTTTTAGTGACCTATCAACAACAAAATAAAAATACGCTGAAAACATATTGGAAAGGTTTTGGGGACATGACAGTTACACCGATATGAAATTAAAATTACGAATACTAGACCTCTCTAGTTAAGAGAGAAACAAAAAAAAAAAAAAGGAATCTTCACCTCTGCCAAAATGTATGCCTCAGTTGGATTGTTCAGAGCTTTCCGATCATTTGTCTCATATGCAGGCAACGAATCTATGCTAGGGAAAACAACAATACATTATTCAAGCACGTATTTAGTCATTGCATTTTGATAGCATATGGAAAGAGAAACTGAAGAACGGACCTGTATTGATAAATATCACGGGATGATTTGGGTCCAGAACCTGCTAAAAAGTAACCAAATAAGAATCGACACAGTTCCTGGAATGAAGTCCAATAGGTATCATAGTATTCAATACTAGGAACCGGATAATGCATTACTTAAAATCTTTAATTTTTAAATGGCCGTTTGAAGACTAAGTTACTAGCTACATAATATATTGACACAAATTGAATATTTTGCCAAGACCTTCATCAGCCATACTGGTGCAGATGCCGAACACCTGTACTTGAGTTTTGCATTTTCTATTTCTTTAGAACCGCAACGCAATCTATCTCCATATATCAGAGCATTTGACAGTTCCATTATGTCTGCACACATACGGTACTGCATATAGTACAAAAATTTCATTTAGTATATTAAAAAAGCAATAACCGAGTTAAAAATCAACTGAAAATAGAGTTACCTGGCTACGCAAAGCCGCAATTGCCTGTGGATGTGCTTCTGAGAGCCTGCAAAAGAGGCTCATGCTCATTCCATTCTCTTTAGCCTCTGGACTCTAATATCAGAAGTGCAATTAATGTTATAGTCAGTCATAACTCTCGGCGAAAAAACTAAGAGCATCACAGAGAAAGAAACGTACCTGAACAAGTGGTGGTAATTGATAATGATCCCCAACAAGAACAAATTTGGAAGCAAACATCAGAGGGCCCAAGGAAACCTGATTGAGAAAGGGGAAGAAACTAATTTCAATCTATCTGTCACACATATGAAATATCTGACGAAGCGATGCATGGGAGTTGAAGCAAAATATGACCAACAAAATCCAACTATTGCAACGAAAATTATGTTAATTTAATCTATAAACAAATTACGGTCAGAAGTTAATATCGGATACTATAAGAGATACTACTTGCATTCGTAGTTAGAAAATGATATTTTTGGAAGAACAAAAATCCGGCGGCTTAAGCATAAATTGAAAATACGGGTTACATGTATGTATGAATGAGTAAAGTAATACCGGCAGTGTTATCTGTCCTGCTTCATCCATGATGCATATGTCAAATTTCTTATTAGTAAGCAAAGGACTATTTATTCCCAGGCAAGTAACCGCAACAACATTGATTTTATCCAGCTTTTCTTTAATCTCTTGAGTGCTCTCCATATCCATTACTGCAATCAAAAGATTTGAACAACAAATTAAAACAAGAAGCTCTTGTAAATGGAACAACACTCGTCATATAAACCAACAAACCAACCTGACAAGCAATTCTCTTGAACTGCCTCATGAACAGCTTCGTACCTACCAATTCTTATAAAATCTATGCCCTGTACAAGTTTTCAAATTTTCATGCAACAGAACCTTGAAAGAATTCAACAACAAACAAATACATTAGAAATCCAAAATGTGGAGAACTATGAATCTTGCGTACTCGGAAACTATGCTGGTAATACCCATCTTCTTTATTTTAAATAATATCTATCTTTAAGTTTCCAAACATAGATGACTTAATCCTGCTATCGTCATCTCCATAGAGATAATTGAAAAAAAGATAAGTTTCTGCAAATTCTTGAAGTTGTATTTTTACTTAAAGCCATATAAATTCTGTATAGTGTTTGTTTATGTGTTGCTATAAGTTCTGCAACAAATAAAATGAAGATAAGAAGATGAAGAGTATAGTATATTGAACGCTTTACTGGTGACATGAATCACATTTTACCTAATTAACCATAATTAATCCATATTTTAACATAGTGGTAGGAGTATAATAGACATCACAATAAGGTTAAGAAACATAAAACATTTTAAAGGTAGTACAGATTTGGTGAGAGCAAGTTAAACTTTGTGGGCTTCAAAGTTAAGGTGATACCTATGTTAACGACTTGGGAAATCTTGAATCTGAGTAAGTGTCAGTTTTTTATAATACGCCCAATTGAGAAAAAAAATGCAGTAATGATATATAATTATGACCTGAGCTTTAAGTTTGATTAGTAAATTGTCAACAGCTGAGTTTGTGTATGATGTCAGCAAAATGGATGCACCTCTCATCAACAATGCCTTCACAGCATGTACCATGGTAGATGTTTTGCCGGTGCCAGGCATTCCAAGAATAAGGGCATAATTCTTTGCTGTCAATATCTGAAAGTAGAAAACCACAAAAAGAAATAATGAAGAGACGAGTTAGGAATCTTCAAAGGAAATTTAAAATATGTTTCTAGATGTAGTAATACACCATAAAAATCTAGATTACAAGTTGATTTGGGACCTTGATTATGGCTCTTCTTTGATCATCATTCAAACTTTTCTCCGACCAGACGTATGAAATAGCAGGATCTTGACTAAACGTGCAGCCACTCTCAAATTTAGGCATCTGCAATCAATGCTAATGTAAATATAAATGCAGGAAAGTGTGCTTTCAAAGAGAAGTGATGTGAGGGCTAATTTCAAAGGTGGGAAAGATTCACCTCAAGATCAACAACCATCTTCCTCAGGCAAGAACTACTTTCATTTTGCAAAAACATTTGAATAAGATTGTACCTAATACGGGCACAAACGTCAGAAATATATCCTTTTTTAGTTTCTTGTAAGGAATTATGAGAAACTATGTGCAACAGATAAGTATTTTTTGCAGACCTCATAATTGCAAATGATGCCATAGCTTCATCTTTGTCAATCCGCCAGGATTGCTGACGAAGAGCTTCTGCCGTTGACCCATGACTACTCCCCGGAATTCTTAATCGTTTAGCAAAAGATACCTAAAAGATTAAAGGATCAATTATAAAATTATGCTTATGAATTCCTGATAGTGGATTTATTTTAACTTCCATGGCACGCTTATGAATAACTAAGTGCTTTAGGAAAAGCAGGGAAAGCGAGTATCTTGGAAAATGACATATTAAATTACTAAAATGATATACTTACAGAGATATGGGAGTTACCGATTTCCGCAATGACCCCATTAGCAACTCGTAGACGACCAGGTTCTGTGCTTAAGATCTGCCACAGTAAAAATGGAAAAGTTTCTAGTTAAAACATCAGGTATGTAGATATGACTTTTGAGATATATGATGTCTTATTGATGATCTGACAGCATGTGTAGATCTTAATGCTAATTAACCACACTACAATATGTGCAGGTAAAAAGGGTATATATGGGATATACACACAAGTCTTTAAATTAAGAAACATTATTCAGGATGAATTCAAAAAATTGCAGCTCAACTAATTCATATTATAGTAAATGCTAGAAGATCAGGTGGTGCATGAGAATACTGCTAAGTGCCAAGGACAAAGTAAGAAGTTTGAATATGAAATTTTACAGTTTTCACTTTTCAGGCCAATTATGTCATTTCCTATGAACGAGCTCGTATGGACTATGTTTTCTATTTGAGCAGAGTGCAGCAAGAAATATAACTTATATGATAGTAAATATATGCATCTCACTAAAATGCTAAAGCATTGAAGTCTATACTTATAAGTGGCCAAGAAGTATAACTGCCTAAAGAGCGGAACGATTCAGAGATAATCCCTTGAAAAGAGAAAGAAATAAAAAAAGAACATACCACATAATCCCCATTCTTGAAAATATGCTTCAAGGAAGAGGAAGAGCTTGAATCTCCATGAGGTTTTTCTGTGTCAAGCAAAGGAAATTCTCGATGCACAAAGCGATAAACAAATTGGTTTCCTCTTGAAAGTTTTTCTGGTGATGATTTAATCGAAGAGCCGAGAGCCAGAGATGTTAGGCAAGTAGCGTGGTGGTCCTTCCTCGAATTGTCTGAGCACCAGCTTTCTTTCTTCGCAACCTAAATGATGAAATTATAAGTATTATTTATTAGCTTCAACGGCCAAGTATAACAGTATGTAACTCAGTTACACTACCTCCAAATGTTTAGATTCCAGATCAATTAATCTCTCCCACTTTTGGAGAAAATCAGTATGTGTGGTTTTTAAATGGGAGACCAGTGAATCATATAAATCACCTAGTCCACTTCCTTCCGCATTTCCACCAGATGTCTGCACAATCAAACACAATTAAAAACATGTGAGCTTTTTGTGGATACGGGAAGCTGTGGCTATAGCAAATCGATTATAGTAAATAGTCAAAGCTAAAGAAAATCAAAGATATCATTTATCTTTCAGATTAAGAACTCAATTCTAAACCCATCTTATGATTGACAACTATAGAACAATGTATAGAAGTGACAATCACCTCGAAATCTAACGTCCAAGATATAATGAAGAAATACTTATTTGTGTTTCCATATCTAACATCCAAAATATTTGTGTTTCAATATCTTTTCTTACTCAGATGTAACAATCTAATTATTAAGGGCCCCGGAAATGCAGCAGAGTTAGATGGCAGACCTTGTGGTAAATAGTACAGACATTGAGGTGGCGACAACTTCTGCACATGTTTGGACTCTGCGCAAAATGGATTCACTAAGTAATCGTATTATAATTTAACTCACATATTGAAATAATAATTGGAGGTACAAATACTTGTAACATTGGTGGCAATTGCTGAGTTGTTGATGCCTTGAGTAGATCATTGGCTAGGTCATTCCGGCGCATTATAAGCCCAATTAAGTCGGATCTTCTTACAGAAATTCCCTTCACAGAATGTTCATATCAAATTAACCAAAATTATGAAGCCATAAAAGAGTTGGAAGACAAGATATGGTGGCTATACCTGTGTTTGATCTGTGTGAAGATAATATAGAAGGCCATATTCAATATTCATCATGTACCTGAAAGAGAGAAGGAACAAAAGAGATGGTTATGTGACTATTAAGGAAGTAAGAATGACTTTACAAAACACGTGTCCGCAATGACTTTACACACCTCTCAGACATGAGGAGAGTATATAACATAACTTGTGCACTATGCTCCATAGCTGCCTGTACAACAGAAAATAATGTGCAAGAGAAGTATTACACCTAAGGAAAGAATTGGAAAAAAAATAAAAATAAAAAGATAATAAGAAACCATCCAATGAAATGGCATCATAATAGAAATTTTTGCTTTTTTTTGCTTTTTTCAGAAATACGGGTTTGATAATTAGCTTGCCTGTCCACTAGTTGCCTTCCCAGTCTTGAACTCCATAGGCATAATTATCTCTGCAGCTTCTGCAGACTTTGTATTAGTACTTACTCGCACAGAAGCATCAATCATCCCTTTCAACCCAAACTTTGGGGCCCAAGCCATTTCTTCAATGTCAATTACCTAAACTTTTTAATAACATGTTTAATTATTTTCTAATCGAAGAGGAGAATTATCACTCTCCATATAATTGAGCCTATATGCAAATTGAGAACAATGCATTCATAAATATACAGCATGTCCATATATTCTTTTATGAGACCAATTGATCCCGTATGTGAATATGCAAACAATTTGACTAAATAATAGGAGATAGTGATGCCATTTCCATAGGCTAAATGCACACTAAGATCAAGAAGACTTACAGTTCTATTTTGTACAGACTACATGGTATGCTCAAACACCAATATTTCCATTTAGAACTAAGTTTTAGATTTCAATAAGCTACATAAAACTCTACATGATTCATTTCACAAAAAGTGAGATGCTCAGATGCTTTAAGTTATTGATGCACAAGCTTGTATTTGTATCTTATAGTAGTTTTAGTCTTTTAAGTCCTTGTAGCTATGTGATAAAAGTCAAATTCAATAGCACCTATGTGGTAAAGATAGGAAAAATATTACCTCAGAAATTCTGATCTTCTTCATTCCTTCATCGCTTTTGAAATCAACGCTTGGAGTTTTAGAACCCTAAAAGGTGAAACATCAAACTCAATTCAAAGATTCCGATTTACAGAGAATAGATTATGCTTGTCTAATTACATTAAGGCACCTTGCCAACCAAACTTGAACATGAGCAATTTAAAGACATTCATGCAGGCAAAGTTTGGGAAAAGGGTGTATCATTCCATAGACAGCAACACAACCACTACTTGAATAAATAAAGGAAGTAATTAAAATGATAACTACGGAAATATGAAGTACACAATCTGGTTCACGACATCAGAGGCACATGATTGGTTCAAGAAAGGCCGGGAAAAACTTTTTTAACCAATCAAGCTGACAGAAATATGCTGGTAATTAATTAGGATCAACCTAACCCTTCTATCAGTAAAATCAGCTGAACCGGTTTCTAGAGGTAAAAATGTTATCAAATAAATATCTGGACATTTTACCACCATCTACCTGTGAATCTCTGAAGGAAGATATCCAATTCAATATTTTTGGGATCGCCTCAATCAAAGTCTTCCAAGTATCATTTTCATTCACTGCAACATCCCCAGGAAATGGAGTTAGCATCTAGGAAAAGCTAATTATTCATATTTGATGAGTATCAATGTTAAAGTCGAAGCAACTAGAAAAATGTAAGAAAGTGAAACCAATGGCAAGACAAACACAAGACGTGTTGAAACGGAAATGTAACAAGGCAATACTTAAAAGTGTCCACCTCCACACGCATAAAGACTCTCTAGACTTTTCTGAAGTACTGTTCTAGCATAGTCCTCCAAAAATTCTTTTGTGGGGAATTCACTGATAAGGCCTGCCTGGAGAAATAAAATTATGTTTGCTCAATAAAAACATAATTATTGCATGTAGGGTAATGGAATACGTGTTTTACAATTCTTGTTTCTGAGACCTGAAATAGCTGATGCAATAAGGTACCCATCAATGCTGCAGCTGAATGCTCGTTATGTTTTAACCTCTCATCCAGGACAGTGCGTCTTGGGCAGCTGAAACTAGCAGAAACCTATAAACAATTTTCAGAACAATGAAAAGAATGAGGCAACAGGCGACATAAAGAATCCTTGAAGGTAATGAAATAAGCTATATCCTTATATTACAATTAAATACATACGAGAAGAAGCAGTAAACTAAAAGAACAACGAGTTATTGGTAATACCCGAGTACCAGAAACCAATATATCTGGATGGACAATGAGAAAGTTTTTCTCACGATTCACGTCACACTTTCCCCGGTCGTCAAATTCACCAATTACGTGAACAGTATCTCCGGGCGCAACAACACTAAAGTACCTGCAGGATAGAAATGAGAAGGAAACATAAGGATGATGAAAGCTTTAGCAACTACTACTTTATACAATTTAAGGAACATTTTCAGAAAGAAATAAAAGTTTCAAATAGGGGAAGATGAATATAACTAATCTGCATCGGCAGATCTAAAGAAGGATAGAAGTATAATATATACTGCTGTCACTGCTTAAAGTTTGAAAATTGAGAGAAGAAACAATCTCATCTAAGTATTTATAAGATTTAGAATTCGCTCGATAATGGTTTCAATTTTGTTGCAAGAATCGAAAAATCATTCGGCAGTTGGCATCAGATGTAAATATAAGGAACTCGTGTTATCTTGCTTACAATATCAGTAGTACTAATCAATAAATCCCGATACTAGGGGCCTAATGTGACAAAACGACAATAGTAGAGCATAAAAATGCATTTAATAGTAACACTATTCTCTCATCGACAAATCTAATTAACAGATTTTGCTTAACCAGTTCACCATAATGTAAGCCAAAACCAAAAGATCAGATTTTGCTTAGTCAATATTTACTACTTACCATTCATCCCACAAATGCAAAACCCGCTCTGCTCCACTTTGTTCATTTAATAAGTGCAGCACCTGAGATGCAATTACTCAATCACCAAACCTTGCTAGTTGTATTTCAATGTGCAAGTTACTCAAGGATTACGCATACCTTGATAGATGATTGAGGACCTAATGATTCACCAGTTCCGTGTTTTTCTGAAACCTATGGCACATACGCGAAAACAGAATTGCATCAATGAACTGTCATTCCCCATACAGAAAGAATTGATAAGCAAAGAAGTACAGGTGCATACCTCCAATACAAGAAAATTGAAATCAGAGTCTTTACGACATTTATCGTCATCTGAAGTGCTTGTCAAATTGTTTGCAAAAAGGTCAGCTTTGGGGTATCGCTCAGCGTCTAAAAATGTCTCATTACTTTTACATAATGAATGTTCAGCGTTGGGGCGTCTCTCAACATCTAAAAATGTTTCGTTGCTTTTACATAATGAATGATCAACGGATATTACATCTTCTACTTCATCTAAGAGTTCGATTAAAGCCTGTGAGGAAATAAACAACGTTGTAAAATATACTCCTAATGTTTAATTCTGAACATTGAAACAGAACAAGAACTTAGGTTTGATAAAGTGAAGATCCAATTAGAAGAACCAATAACCTTTTTGTGCTGTCTCGAACCCAAATGATCAGAGACTCCATTACAATTCACATCATCGGGCACCTACATCTCATCCATCGTCAAAATCATAAAAAACAAGATAGAAAAATCTTGGAGAAAAATCGGCATATACATATGAAATTGTAAAATGAAATCACCTTGTCATAGCAACAAGACAGAGATGGTGGAGTACTGAACGGGCTCTGAGTATTTACTACTTCAGATTTGTTATTGCTACTTATATTTCTGCTGTTTCTACGACAATTCGAATCATTATCTGAGTTAACCTTTCTCGATGCAAACCCGTCCGAGCATATCAAAGATTTTTTATCCAGCTTCAGTGGAGGTGAAGAAAGCCATCTCTCAAGCCTTCCTGACATGAGAGGGGAAGTTTGCACCTACCAATATGAACTGTTTTACAATTTTTTTTCTAAAGAAAATGAATGCAAAGGAGACAAAATCAAATAAAAATTATCGAAAACCTTTTTCTGTGAACACTGCTGAAAACTCATTGAGTTAAACCTCGTCGAATCTGCCAATACCCTTATTTGGCCGGGCAAATACTTAGATTTCGCGTGGAGCCTCTCGTTTACTGGAGAAATTTTCCATGTCACTTCATCAATTGCATCATCTTGACTCTGCTTGATCAACTAGAGAGGGGAAAAAGGAGTTCAACAGACAAGTGATGACATGAAAAATAAACTCAACCAATTTTTTACCACTCTATTATCAGTTGGATATATTTTCCTGCCTATGCAAACTATTTTTCTTAACTGGTGCAATTTAGTAATTAAGTTGCGGTTTCCAAGAAGCTCGAGTCATATTAGACGATCTAGAACACACTCTTACTTCAAGATAGATTTTCAATGATAACGGTCATTAGATTCTGGAAATTGGGATTAAAAAGAAATCTTTCAACAATGGTTCTCATTAGCCTAAACAAAATCATAAAGAGTTTATAGATATATCAATTGCTCATCTATCTATGAATTTACATTAATCAGTATATATACATTGTCTATCATCAAGTAGTAACTAAGGCACAGATACTCGAATCGACCAATTGTAGAATGGAGTTATTAAGATTACCATTCCGGGCGAAAACTTGAAGCGCTTAACAGAGACGGACTTTGATGGCTCCGGCGAAACATCCAATTGATCCACAGGCGATAAATTATCCTTCGGCGAACCCTCGGATAAATCAATCACCACCTTTTCCTCACATTTTATAGAATTTCCGCAATTTTCATCGGCACAACTTTTGGATGAACTTACTGCATTACGTATTGGGTTTTCACCCCTCAAATATTTACCCATGGACTCAATCTTCTCCAATTTGTCCGTGCCCACTGGACAATCAACTTCCATTTTAGCACGATCAGAATCATTTCCCGGGTTCTGACTGACAGCGGGTTTCGATACAATTTGGGGGTTTCGGTCGGGGGCGGAATCGTCTTTTCTCTTGGAGCTGTTGCTCTGGGAGAGGGTTTTCTGGCTCTGCGAATGGCGATCGAAGAAGTGTTGAATCCCAAATTTGGGAGGGTGGGATGGCTGCAGCGGCTCCTTATTCGAAGTGCTCGATTTCTTGCCAACCGAGCTCGCCTTCTTCCTCGGAGCCATCAATCGGAAAACCCAACTAGGGTTTTAGGGTTCCCTCGATTCTCTTCGATCAAATTGGATCAAATTTGAATCAGAAGAATGACGATTGAAGATACAGCATAAAATGGGGTAATTGAATTGTCTTCTCCGCTTCCCGCCATGGGGGTTCGTTTATGGCGGGAGAGCTGTTGCGCCGTTGGATCAAAATGGACGGCGCAGATTTAGTTTTAGGGGTTTTCTTTCGGGCCTGTTTCAATCAGCCCACTGTAGATTCGGATCCACATTATAAAGCCCAATTTAATAATTTTCAATTATATTTATATACTATTATGCCTTAAAATATGAATTTTACCTATTTTAAGTAAGAATTTTGGAAAAAAAAACTCAAATTATTATATTTATAGTCATTAATATGAATTTGTGGACAAGTGTGCGTAAACAAACTTAGAAAAATCAATCACAAATTGAACACCAATTTTAAGTGGTTCCAATTAACGAGAGCTTATATCCACCAAACGATCTAAGAATAAGTATTGATCGAGAGTGTTACATATTACATCAATTCTCAGCAATCTAATCGATCTCACATGTAACACCAAGAACACACACTAGAATACCCTAAATTCTTTTCTACCTCATATTATATATCTTAATGTATATCCGGTTGCAACTGATTGATCACCGAATCGGAACCAGGAGAAACTATTATTTAATCGAGATTACAAGATACTCCCCACATGCCAGCTCATTGTAACTACACCATTTGATTTACGAGTTTCCCTTGATCAATATATCTCCGGCTTCCAAAAGTTGAATCACAAATCTACAGTCATTTTAGCTGAATTTTTAAGTTAATTTGGATCAGCTAGATTTCACGCGAGGCGAGTGAGTTATGCATGAATTAATAAAACTGCACTAACCCACAATAAGTTTACTTCGAACGTAATTTTGACCGTCTTACAATCAGTTTGGGAATTCAAAAATGATGGTCGGTATGATCGATAGATCAACCAACCAACCCAACTGTACATAGATTGGTTGAAATTAATGGTTCGATTTAAATTAATCGGTTTACAATCGACATTAAATCACAAACTAATATACGATTAAATTGAACATGACATCAAAGTCACAAAAAATCCCAATTATACGATACAAGCTAAGCAACCATGCAATGAATGGTGTGTGCTATCTTGCACGGGAAACAGGCTCTGCCTCCATAGTGTGCTATCTTGCACTGAAAACCGGCTCTGCCTCCATAGTCGGCTGAGTTCTTCTCGTATATTTCAGCAGCAAACCTTCTGCAGAAAGTCCCGGCACTCTCAAATCCCTACAAAATCGAGTGACAAAAAACTGTAAATAACTAGAGTCAACACAAAAAACATAAACTATGATGTTTTTTTTTTGTATCTCACTTGACATAAGGTTCTAGATCCTTCCATTCCCACTTCGCCCTCTCGTTAAATAGCACAGCAAACCGCTCGACAGGACTCGACGGGAGATCCGACACACTAAACGAGTAAACCCTAGTCTCCATTCCAATCTTCTCCATCAAAACTTCACCTTCCAAAAAGTCCAAACTAGCCCTCATACCTTCCGGAACCTTCCGCCCCCACTCCTCCATAAAGATCTCGAGTTTCATCTTACCTTCTTTCAAGATCCCCCTCGCCAATTTTACGCAAACGCCCCTCTCATCCAACTTCCACCTACACTTCCCCCCGACATCCACCGCCTCACTATGGGCCCGCAAGCAATGCCTTGCTACATTCGCCGGAAATTCGTCCGCTACTAGAACATTCACAACCTCATCTTCGTCCAGCTCATCAATCGACCAATCGTTCAACACAGCGTTGTGCAAGAGCATGTTCAGAATCGCGTATTTATATTCGTCGTCCAGAATTCGCCAGTACCCATCGATTTCTATCGCCGAAAGGGATTGTAGACCCCGCTTCAGTTCGTCTTCACTTGCCTGACACCTGTCGAGAAGATCCTCCAATCTGTACAGACCTAAATCCGTCTTTTCACACTCTTCCAGAATGTCCATCTTCGAGGCTTCGCCAAAAGTGTATGGGTTTTGAGATAGAAGCAGTTTGAGTTTATCTAATTTAGGTGCCACCTCAACGAGTTCCATGCAACCTGGTGCAACTTTGATGACAGATGCAACCACTGTATTTTTTTCATCTTTGTTATTACACAGTTCCGAGACTTTGTCTGAGGGAGGTATGAGTAATACGGAGTTTGATGTACCGACAAATTTAACAGCATACGTCTTGGAAGTAGTGCAAAGAACTGCATCTTCGTCGGGCTGTCCTCTTAAAGTCACTCTATTAAAACAAAAGCAAAAGATAAAATTAATTTAATGACAATCAATAATAGGGTAAATTACAACCACCCCTGAGGTATGGTCAATTTACGAAAAAATCCCTCTTGTTTGGATAATTACATCTACCCCTCAACTATGATTTTTCCTTACACCTCCACTCTTATGGTGTCAAATTCAACATAATCATCTAGATTTCGTGGAATGTAGTCATTTTGTGTAAATATACAGTTTCTGATGCACCACAAAATCTGATATGTACAAGCCAAAAAACACATATTATGATCATCTTGCTTCAAACTGTGGAGTTCGAATGGGATAAAACGGTTACAAAAGTGATAATAATCCATATAATCTCGAAAATTCCACTAAATTTGAAACCGCAAGGGTGGACGTGTAAGAAGATTTATAGTTGAGGGGATGGTTGTAATTACCCAACCAGGGGGGGGGGGGGGGGGGGTTTCGTAATTTGACCATACCTCAGGGGTGGTTGTAATTTACCCTAAATAATAATATCCAAAGTAATGATCATGAAATTTCATAAACACACACCTTTGGTGAAGGATTTCAGGGAGGAGCTTTTCGTCGATTTCAAGAAGCATGATGTCATTGTGGGGCCCGAATTGAGAGTCGTAAGTAATAGAGATTGAGGAATTCGGTTGAAGGCGTAGCACTGCTTCTGCACCACCCGAGCATCCAGCTTCTGTATGTATCGTATCCATGCACCTCTCTTCCTTTGTAAACCAAGACTCGAGGGGGTATAATTGTCAATATATTTATGTCCCTTCTTTACTCTGATATCTACCATGAAGGGGAAAATGGATAAGTCAACTAACTATAAGTATGTAACGGATTCAGAGCTTCCTACGAGTAAAATATAGGCAAATACTACTACGAGAGAAGATCGTCATCATCGTCACTCTTGTCGATTTCCACCGATTGACTTAAAGCAAATACTGTGAGGACATAATCCTCATTCTCTCTTTCAATAATTGTTGCTAAATAAAGTTAACAAAATAAAGAAAAGATGACGACGACAAAAAAATGCAAAATTATAGCCAAAAATTATTTAAAGAAGGGGTTTTTACCTATCTAAGAATAAAACGTAAACAGTTTTCATGGGAGAAAGTAAGGTGCAGAACTAATCTAGATGCAGATTACAGCAAAGCTCAATAAACCAAGAAGCAAAGAAACGTCTTCCTATATGCATTAGCAGTGTTGATGATATACAGGGGTGGAAATCGGATAGGATCGGATATGGGACTTTCGGAAAATTTCGGATTTTTTTCGGAACCGAAATATTTATTCTGATTCCGATTCCGATTTTTCGGAATCCAAGAACTGAATCCGATTCCGATTTTTTCGGAAATTTCGGAAAACCGTTTCACAGATTTCTTGAACACACAACAAAAAACACACAGACAAACCCACAAAAAACACAGAAACACACAATGTTTTCGGATTTGATCACATATCTCCACATTTTCATTAACCTGACAATTACTGATGAAAACATCTCAAATAGTTTTTACATTTTAAAGAGCAAGCCGTCAAGTCGAGCTCTCAAATGAAAAAGATGGGAGAAAAGAGACAGTAAAAACAGAACACAACTCGGGACACCGAGAAAACAAGACCGCCCAAGTTCGTAACACTTCAAAAGAAACTATATTCGTTAGTAATTTCAGTCCGAAGTGGGATCAAGCACAGTATGCTGATGATATTTGAAACATGTCGATACAGAAATACAGATGACAGATCTCAAATGGAAGATACTATTTAATAAATTCCATTAATTCATAAGCACAAGTATTTCTCATACATTCAATTCAATCATGAAATCCCAGATTTTGGATATTAGGGTTTTTTTCTTTCCAATTCATTCTATTAAAAAGAATCAGAAATCCCAACTCACTCTACCAGAACAAAAGTAGGTGAACTCGTAACAAAATCCTTCAATTAGAAAGCAACTCAGTGATTCACTATTGCTAATCCAGCAGAGCTAATTGGGGGTTAATTAATGATAACAAGCTTAATAATAACTAGCGCGCTTTCAGATAAAATTTCGAAACCCACTTCAAATCAAGAAGAATAACAACAAGAGGATGCAAACTATAAACTGAAAAAATCCCTCAAACACCAAATGCAATCGAACCCAAACAAATCGACATTCATTTTCAAATAATAGAACAATTTTTTTATGCATATGAATTCAAACAGAAAAAAAAAAAGCGAAATTAAAAACAAAATCATCTTGGGGTATAGCAAATTCATACTATTTGCGAGAAATTCCACCAAAAAAAAAAAAATTACCGTCACTTAGATCTCTCGATGCTCTAGGATTCCGGTTGCTTGTTTCAATTTAGGGTTAAAATGGCGGGAAGAAAGAGGTACTATTGTCTTGGAGGGAAACAAGAAAGTCGCTACTAGAAACGATTCAAGCGCGCTTCTAGGTGTTGCGTAAAGATAAAATAAGAGTTTATTTCATTTTGTACCCCTATATTTTATTTAATTGCTAAAAAGCCATTCATATTATTAAGGTTTAATGGCATTTTGTTCCCCGAACTTTGACGCGTTTTGCACATTGCCCCTCAGACAAAAAAACGTTGCACGGTGCCCCCCTTCCCAGACTAAAAATAGTTGCACGGTGCCCCCAAAGTCTATTATTTGGAGCACCGTTCAAGAATGAGTGGTCGCACCATGCAACATATTTTAGTCTGGGGGCAATGTGCAGAACGCGTTAAAGTTTGAGGAGCAAAATACAATTAACCCTTTATTAATATTAGCAAAAATAACCATGTGATGCATTTTCTTAGCACAAAAACCATTTAAATTTAGTGGGTAGTTTTCTACAAATATTAAATCGTAGGGGGTATTATGATGAATAAATTAGGGTATCCACATGTGACATGCCATCAATCTAATATCTATAAAACAATGAGTTTTTTTTTTCAGTAATTCAGTATTACACGGGAATAAATGAAATAAATTTTATACTACAAATAAAACGACGTCGTTTCGTTATTTAGTCAAAGCAAAAAGAATTTCACCAGTTATAAAACACATCTCAAATTTTTCGAGACCCAAATTCACAAATCTTTTTTCATATGAAGAAACATAATTACAGCTGTAAATGAGCTGAATCGGTTCGAAAAAAGCTCGAACTCAAAATTTCCGAGCTATATGACGAGTCTTCTTAGTTGTTCGTGTTTACCGACAACAAAGTGTTACGATAGACAACAAAAATTGATAGTAGTAATGTCACCGCAAAATAGTAAAATAGTGGTTGTATTAGGTGAAAGTCGGATGGAATGTATCGGAATTAGCCTTTTCGGAAAAAATTCAAAAAAAATCGGAAGTAAAAAATTAATTCCAATTCCAATTCCAAAATTTTCGGAATCTAAAAATTCATTCCAATTCCAAAAGGCCTGGAAATTTCGGAATTTCGGAAAAAAATCGGAAATCACATAAGCTTTAAAATTTCAAAACTTAGCCAAAATTTTCTAAAATGTTCATAACTTTTCAAAAATAAAAACATCCACGTTGATAAAAGTAAAATTAATAACTATTAAATTTCAGTTCAAAAAAATAAATAAAGAAGATAAACATACCATAGTATGCAACATAACTTATAACAACAATTCATTATGTCAGAATCCTAAAAAAAAATTATCGGTATATTTTTCGGAAAATAATTATTATGTAATATATATTATTTATAGGTGTATTTTTCGGAAAAAAAAATCGAAAATTTTCGGAATTAATTTTGGAATTAAATCGGATCGGAAATCGAAAATTTCAAATTTATTATATATAATTCCAATTCCAATCCAAACAAATCGGAAAAATTCGGAAATCGGAATTTCGGAAGTCGAAATGAAAAAAGTTGTTCCAAAATCGGAACTTTTCGAATCGGAACCGGCGGAAATTGGAAATTTCGTTCCAACTTGCACCCCTACTCGCTTATAAAAGTACAAAATTATAGACAAACTTCCCACCAGTTTGATTTAAGAAATTAAGGTTATATGTTTGTTGTATTTATTACCACCTGTAATCTTCATCAATATATCCGGCTTGTAGGTATAACTGTCTAATTTATTATCTTTAAATGAGTCCCTCCAATTTTTCTGTACTAAATCTCAATTACGTGTTAGAATCTGGTCCAACAAATTGACTTGATGGAAAATGAATTAATTGGCACAAAGATGTGTCACACATCAATTGATTGGAAGCACTCGTAGAGAAATTACTCTTACTAAATTGGAAACATGTTTTTTTTTTTTCAATTCGTACATACATAAAATAATTTATTATTTAAATGAAATTATTAATTTATCGACGCTATATTGTAATACCGATGCATTAATTAAAATGACGGTATTTTGGGTCAAAATAGTGAAATGAGAGAGTTTGGGAAATTTGGTGCAAAACATTTTTTGGTAAATTATACCTACACCCCTCAGGTTTAGTAAAATAACTGTAAGGTCCATGTGGTTTTGGTGATTGCAGTCGCACCCTTGAAATAATTACCAGAGTTAAAATTTCATGTCATGAAGACCGATATGCACTATATTTGTGTTCCGCGGGGCCGTTAATGCTATCATAGCTGAAATTTATAAATCGAATATAAAAAAATAAGGATTTAAGAAATGTTAGGACATTGATGTAATCAATCCCCAAACTTTATGTTGTCTCCACCACTGTTTGAAACTAATTGTCCGTCAGAACCCTAACGGAATAAGTTATTCAATGCATTATTCCATTATAATTTCTAACAATGTTTCAGGGAGGTGATTATAATTACTGAAACCACATGAACCTTAAAGTTATTAAAGCATACCTCACGGGTGTATGTGTAAATTTATGAAAGGCAGATTTCATTCATTATTTGTAGGGTAAATTACAACCACCCCCGAGGCATGGTCAATTTACAAAAAAACCCATCCTAGTTGGGTAATTACAACCACCCCTCAACTATAAATCTTTTTACACGTCCACCCTAGTGGTTTCAAATTTAGTGGAATTTTCGAGATTATATGAAATATTATCACTTTTGTATATACTCGATTTATCCCATTCAAACTCCACATTTGAATTGAAGTAAGATGATCATAATGTGTGTTTTTTGGCTTGTATATATATATATATATATATATATATATATATATACAAATTATTTACCTACTGGGCCACGAGCCCAATGTCGAAGACCACTATCACCGAGGCCCAATCACCTTCAAGTAAGGTTTGGGCCCGACAATCTCAACTAAGCTATAAATAAAGGTTTGAACTCATTCTTCAAGGTACGTCCTATTAACTGAGCAATATTATTAACTGTATTCTCTGGACTATTTCTATGATCAACACGTCTGACTTGAGCGTCGGAGGGGTTTCCGCCGGATCAACCCCCAGCCTAGTTCACGTGTTTTGTGATCGCGGGTACCTTAGGATCATCAAGTTGTCAAGCTACTGATCCGCTTTGCTCTCCCAGTTCGTTTTCTACACTACCCCAGGTGATCTAAGTAATTAGCATCATCATTTTGGCGCCGTCTGTGGGAACGATGCAAACCAGATCACGTAGCCAACAAGATCCTCCTGAGGCGTTTGCTCGGAGAGAAAATGACACAGCTAACAACCTCCCAGTCCGTGGAGGCTCTGGCTTGTCATATCCTCCTCCCCATGCTTGGGATCCACTACGAGGCCTTCCTCGGATGTCCCACTAGATCCTCAACAGGATTCACAAAATATTTCGCTCGCCAAGGGTTATCGACTCCCTGGGGGTATACAGTGCCCCTAAAACATTTCGCTCGCCAAGAGTTATCGACTCCTTGGGGGCTTACCACTGCCCCCAAAATATTTCGCTCGCCAAGGGTTATCGACTCCCTGGGGGTATACAGTGCCCCCAAAACATTTCGTTCGCCAAGGGTCATCGACTCCCTGGGGGCTTACATCTGCCCCCAAAATATTTCGTTCGCCAAGGGTTATCGATTCCCTGGGGGTTTATAGTGCCCCCAAAATATTTCGATCGCCATGGGTCATCGACTCTCTGGAGGCCTACTTCCGCCCCCCCTCGAAAGGTTCAGATAACCGAAGAGGACCTTCAGCGTATGATCGCCGAAACTTCAACAATATCAAATTCTACTTGCTTCTCTAACGGTTCAGATAACCGATAAGGACCTTCATCATACGACCGCGAAAGCTTCAACTCGTGTTGTCACTGAAGCAACGACACAACCGTGTGCATCCACCTTAGACCATAGGTCTCGAGCGCCTCATCCTACAGTGCGTGGTTAACCCATCCCAAGGTTGGGCATCACCCTTACCTTTCAACCCCAAGTGGGTTCACATCACATCTCAAGAGACGAGTATAATCTCCCTACTAAAAAAATAGAACATCCCAAGGGGTGAACATCAACCACCAAAAAAAAGGGAGGGCCAAGCCGCGCGGCTCCAATCAAAAAAAAAAAATACTCGGGCATGATTCCGGAGGCGCGCGCGGGCATGAATCCCGAGACGCGCGCGACCCGCTTCCCGAGGCGCGCGTCCGGCACGCTTCCCGAAAAAAAACGGGCACGATTCCCGAGGCGCGCATTCGTCACGCTTCCCGAGAAAAAAAAAGAAAGAAGAAAAAAAAAAGATGAAGAAAAAAAAACAAGAAAAAAAGAAGAAGAAGAAGATGAGAAAAAAGAAAAAAGATGAAGATGAAAAAAGAAGAAGAAGATGAGAAAAAAGGAAAAAAAAAAGATGAAGAAGAAAAAAGAAGAAGAAGAAGATGAAGAAAAAAGAAGAAGATAAAAAAAAAAAAAAAAAAACATTTTAGCCAAGTTGCGCGTCCCCCAAGCCGGCTAAGCCACCGCGCGCGCCCTCCAAGCCAGCCGTCCGCGCTCGCCTCAAGACAGACAAAAAAAAAGAAAAAAAAAGGGGGAGAATACGCGTGCGTGTCGCTCACGCGCCTGACGCGCGCGTGTCATCTGCAAAAAAAAAATAAAAAAAAATAATAATAATAATAATTAATGGGAAGCGCGTGTTCCCACGCGCCTGGGGGCAGCACTTGCGCGCGCCTTCCCATGCACGCGCACCTCCCAAGGCCACGCCCGCGCGCCTCCCAAGGCCACGCGCTCCCATTAAATCGCGCGGAACTTTCACCGCCCAACACCAAATTGCGCGTAGATTTTGACTCGCTTCACCAAATCGCACGAGAATTTCAACGCGCTCCACCAAATTGCGCGAGCTCTTTAACGCACCTACCAAATTGCGTTCACTATCAAATGGAAAAAAAATAAAAAAAATTATTTCTCCACGTCATGCCAACGATTAAAGAAACACTACAGCACCGATCTACTCTCGACACGATCCGGTACCCTTTTCGATGTGGCTCCCATATCGTCTCGAGAGTGGGGGGCTTGCGAGACAACTCCCACGAGGAGCCAACTCGCCCGATACTACAAATCCGTTGCTAGGCAACTCCCACGAGGAACCAACTCCCTCGGGCCTACGAAACCACAGCGAGATAACTCCCACGAGGAGATAACTCGCTCAGTCATATAACTCGTTGCGAGGCAACTCCCACGAGGAGTCAACTTCCTCGGGTCTACGAAGCCACATCGAGATAACTCCTACGAGGAGACCACTCGCTCCATTCTACGACCCGCAGCGAGGCAACTCCCACGAGGAGCCAACTCGCTCGGTACTACGAACCAGCAGCGAGACAACTCCCACGAGGAGCCAACTCGCTCGGTACCACAACTCGCTGCGAGACAACTCCCACGAGGAGACAACTCGCTCAGAGCAACCTCAATCTGCACGCTCCTCAATCGCGCATCATCCAATGCTCCTACAACTTCGCTGCAAGACAACTCTCTCGAAGAGACAACTCGCTCGCAATGTACTACATAATCGCAAGCTCAAGTTAGCACGATTACAACCCTAGAAACACTTAGAGATATTATGATAATCTATATAGCCTGGCCAGCTTGATTACTCAAAATTTATCTACTTGTTATCGATGGGTCCTTCATTAAATAGTGGCCACGGTCCAAACATACTTATGACCCACAAGGTCTAACAAGGGGCACGATCCTCATAAAAAACTCTTGAGAGCCTGATCCCCTCCTCAAGTACATCACGCACAAGGCTATATGTAAACACATACAAGCAACGCGTCAAAACATTGACAATGTCGATAAATAACAACTCCCACGAGGAGAATACTAGCTTCGTGCTACTACATTATCGCGAGACAACTCCCACGAGGAGATAACTCGGTAAACTCTATTACCCCACGACGAGACAACTCCCACGAGGAGATTACTTGATCCGTGCTACCACATTATCGCGAGACAACTCCCACGAGGAGATAACTCGATCAACTCCCACGAGGAGATAATTCGCTACTACATCGTCGCGGGACAACACCGACGACTCAAATAACTTACATAGCGACAACTTGGTCGCGCTACGCTCCAACGCGCATTCACGCCCCTCCGACACACGCTCCAACGCGTTATCTCGCACCATCGACTACTACAATTTTTACTCTCGATACGACCTGTCACCCATTTCAATATGGCCCCCACATCGACTCGAGAGTGGGGGGCTTAATGATATGACTAATTGGTCCAACCAAATGGCCTACAAATTATTTACCTACTGGACCACGAGCCCAATATCGAAGACCACTATCACCGAGGCCCAATCACCTTCAAGTAAGGTTTGTGCCCGACAATTTCAACTAAGCTATAAATAAAGGTTTGAACTCATTCTTCAAGGTACGTCCTATTAACTGAGCAATACTATTAACTGTATTCTCTAGACTATTTCTATGATCAACACGTCTGACTTGAGCGTCGGAGGGGTTTCCGCTGGATCAACCCCCGGCCTAGTTCACGTGTTCTATGATCGCAGGTACCTCAGGATCATCAAGTTGTGAAGCTACTGATCCGCTTTGCTCTCCCAGTTCGTTTTCTACACTACCCCAGGTAATCTAAGTAATTAGCATCATCAATATATATACGAATTTGATGGGAAAGTACTAAATACGAATTTGATGGGAAAGTACCAAATAGAATTTGCTTGAGTAGTCCCTCAACTACTAAATAATCCCATTTCTTGGCGGTTGAGACTAATAGGTAATCAATGCACTATCACTAAAATAGGAGGCGTGGGCACAAACTATGGTTTGATTTATTCTGCGTTACATCAGTTAAAATTATTGAGTAGTAGCTGTTGTATCGAGCGATTTTAAAGCAATTTATAGTTACCTAATCAAAAACATTGTTTTCATTTTATTTACACGTGTCGGCAGATTACAGACTCTTTGAAAATTTCCTTTTGGCCCCTCCATTGCATGCTACACCGGGTCATATACACGGGACGACTTTTAATCGTCGATGTGTGTGTATGATTATGTGCATATCAACGGTTAATAACCATTCAGTGTGTTTCATCGAATGTAACATTTGTACCTATAACAACTAACTAAATCTCGAAATTGTGCAACAACTTTCAAATTACACGTAAGATTTTAAATCAATTACCCCATCAAATCACATAGGTTTTCACAAAATGAATGCAAAATGAGATAATTGTAGTTTGTAAGTAGGAAAAAAATTTAAAAATTAAAGTACAAGGATTCATGTGCAAAAGTGTCGATCCAAAGGGGGTTAAATACTATTTATCCTATTTGTCAAGTGGAATATCACAAAGGGGTTATATGCTTATATTAAAAATACAAGATGACCATGTGCTTATATTGAAATTACAAGGCAGTCACCCGTAAAAAGTTCAAACTGTAGAGGAGTTAAGTACTATTACCTTGAGTTTAAAGAATTTAACTTATGCTATTTTAATTAAATATTATATATAGTATTTATTTTTTGTCATTTTTTGCTAAACACCTTGATCCCGGTCCGCACAGTATACCTCTAGTTGTCGTTGCGCACAAACCACATCAGAGTGCAAATTGTACTAGACAAGCTTCACATAGCAACGAGCTCGACGTAAAACAAATATTGCTCCCGTATAATAATCCACGAAAGATGTAAATTACATTAAACACGACCACGAACTAAAAATTAATTACAAAGAAAAGTAATATAGCACCAAGTGGGACACGAGCCAAAAAGTTTGCATTTATTTATTATTATTATTATTATTATATAAATCCATTGGTCCTCCTCTCTATGAACATACAAACTAGAGCAAAGTGAAGAAGAAAGAAGAAAGAAGAAAAAAAGTTTATTAATGGCTTCTAAACCAGGGATTCTCACTGAATGGCCATGGACATTTCTTGGCAACTTCAAGGTATATTCCCTTCTCTCTCCTCCACTATTCCCTTTCTCTCTCTTAACTCCATTTCTTTCTGCATATACATACATACATACTGTTATATCAACAAAAATATCTCCAACTAGACAGAAAAATGTGTGGCCTTCTTCTATTCACATCACCATTATCTCAAATTAATAATAATGAAAATATAAAAAAGACTGGATTTTTATTTATTTAATTTCATGTTAAAAAAGATTGGATTTTTATTTTTATTTTTTTGTTTGTGCTTATGTTTGTGAAATAATATGAATCTTATAATGGTTTTATTTTCCATGTTATTTATTTATTATATATATATATTATATTAGTACTTGGTGATAGCTCCATGGGTAATACATTCAACATACTCGTACATGGTGAAGGACAAAAATGAGAGAGATCTCACACAATTCATCATCTTCCCATTCTTGATTTCAAGAATGATCCACAACCAAGTTTGGATTTCTTTCTCCCGTTATCGAACCGCCAAAGGCGCTAACCGAATCGTCGACAAGAACATCGAGTTCGACCAAGTCGATAGAGAACGTAACTGGTATATATACTATATTATTTATACACATATGATTTTTTTTTTTTAAATTTTTTTCTTTAGTATGATTTTATTTTTGGAGATGAATGAATTAATTAAATTTGCAGGGATGATCAAATAATATTCAATGGGATATTGTTCTATGTGGGACAAATGTATATAAAAGAGGCACATAATTTGCCATGGTGGAGAACAATGGGGGTAGTTTGGACAATTTTGCTTCATGCTGGTCCAGTGGAGTATCTCTACTATTGGCTGCATAGAGCATTGCACCACCATTATCTCTACTCTAGATATCACTCTCACCACCATTCCTCCATTGTAACCGAACCAATCACATGTAAGTATTTCATTTCATATTTGGTAAATTACGGCCAACCTCCTGAGATAAGGTCAAATTACCAAAAAAACCCTCATGTTTGGGTAATTACAACCACCCCTCAACTGTGAATCTTCCTACAAGTCCATCCTTGCGTGTCAAATTTAGTTAAATTTTCTAGATTATGTGGAGTATTACTCCAATTTGTACCCGTTTTACCCCATTTAAGCTCCACAGTTTGAAACAAGGTGATCATAAGATGTGTCTCTTGGCTTGTAAATATCAGATTTGTGGTGCATCAGAAACTATTTTTTTTGCACAAAATGGGTACAAATTAGAGAACATTCTACGGAATCTAAAAGATTATGTTGAATTTGACACCATAAGAATGACATGTAAGAAGAATTATAGTTGAGGGGTGTGGTTGCAATTACCCAACACATGAGTTTTTTTTCATAATTTGACCTCACCTCAAGGAGGTAGCCATAATTTATCCTTTCATATATTATATTCCTTTATTATACAATTAAAACTTTATAATTTACTACAGTCAGTAGTAAGTACTAACAAAATTCTATTAATTTAACGAAATGTTAAATTATCGAACTGATAACTTAATACGTTTCAGGCCGAATCGAGACAAAAGAAAAAATTTTTATTTAAACGAGGTTATTAACTTATCGAGATTCTGATGTATTATCAAAACAAAATTGAAAATTAATATTGTAATTAGATGAACTCCAATAATATATTTGTAGTGTGGGGGCGGTGGCCCCCACCCCATTTTAAAAATAAAAAAATGAAATTAAAATAGGAGTAATTTAACTGTGAATAAATTTATAAATTGTTTATTTGATTTTTTGAAATTTCAAAGATCTAGAAATTATTTTTACAGAAATATAATAAATAAATAAATAAATAAAAATTAATTGAACCTAATTTTGGGCTAAGTAAATAAAAATATACTGTGTGTTATATTTGGCAGCTGTGATTCATCCATTCGGGGAGCACATAGCGTACTTCGTGCTATTCGCAATACCGTTGTTAACAACACTGTACAGCGGCACTGCTTCGATGATTTCATTTGCTGGCTACATAACTTACGTTGATTTCATGAACAACATGGGCCACTGCAATTTCGAGCATATTCCGAACCGCCTCTTCTCTCTCTTTCCTCCCCTCAAGTACCTCATGTACACCCCTTCGTAAGTATTATTTTCTCCGTCTCAAATTAACTGTTTATTTCAAGAATCGCGTTTTTCTCTTTTTATAATTTTTTTTCCTTCAAATTATTTAGCATCACTTTAAAACCTCATACAAAAATGACATTATGGATATATGAGGGGTTTTTTGGTCTTTGAACCATGCCTCATGTGGGTTTTGGTGGTTTGTATTTTTTTTGTAATTTTCATTGAACTAGAGGGTATTATAGACATTACACATTTTTTCTGTTAAGAAATGTGGTCAACCGTTAGACCTCTTAGTTCAGGGGCAATTTGGTCATTTATCCTTAGAGTTTGATCACACGTGCAGGTACCACTCCCTCCACCACACTCAATTTCGAACAAACTACTCACTCTTCATGCCGTTTTACGACTACGTATACGGTACGATGGACAAATCTTCCGACACATTGTACAAACGCTCCCTCGTCAGAGACGAGGACTCACCCGATGCGGTGCACCTCACTCACCTAACCACACCCGAATCCATATACCATCTTCGGTTAGGGTTCGCACACTTGGCATCCGAGCCTCATAAATCTAGTAACGGCTACTTGTGGCTAATGTGGCCTATCACCCTATGGTCGATGATGGTGACGTGGATTTACGGATGTACGTTCATTGTCGAACGGAACATCTTCAAAAACCTTAAGCTTCAAACATGGGCCGTCCCCAAATATAGCGTTCAAGTAATTAAAAGATTTTCTTTAAAAAAAATTTAAACGTTAAATAAATAAAAATGCATTATTTTGTATCAATAATTTTTATTTTCTTGTTCTTTTTTTTTTTTTTTTTTTTTTTGCAGTACTACATGGAGTGGCAGAGAGAGTCGATCAACGGAATGATCGAGGAAGCTATCCTAGAAGCCGACGAAAAGGGGATTAAGGTTTTGAGCTTGGGTTTATTAAATCAGGCAAGTTATAATTTATTATATATAAGAGCTTTTACAAAATATTTAATGTGGGGCCGGGTTTTTCGAGTTTTATATTTATTACATCTTATATTTATTTACGTGTGATTTTAGGAAGCGGGGTTGAATAGAAACGGCGATCTTTTCTTGAAAAGGCACCCTAACCTAAAAGTGAAGTTGGTCGACGGGAGTAGTTTAGCCGTTGCTATTGTTGTGAATAGTATTCCGAAGGGAACAAATCGTGTGGCCATTCGTGGCAATTTATCGAAGGTTGCGTATTCGATCGCACTTGCCTTATGCCGAGGGGGAATTGAGGTACATGTTTGGCAATTTTAATTTTTAACGCCATTTATTTTGAGTTTATTGAATTCGTCACTCCTGTATTTACTCTAATTGTTAAAAAGAACTCCTCATATTATAAATATTTGCAAAATTCCTCAATTGATGTTTTTTTTGGCAAACAACCCCTAAATGATGTGTTTCTAGGGGAAATTTACTACTAAAATTGAATCATAGAGGATTGTTTTGCTAATATTTATAACACGAGGAGTTTTTTAACACTTAGAGTAAACATAAGAGTACGTTGAATGCAATTAACCCCATTTAATTTGAGTTTATTGAATTTGTCACCCCTGTATTTACTCTAATTATTCAAAAACCCCTCATATTAAGAATATTAGCAAAAATCCTCCACTAATGATTTTTTTTAGCAAACAACCCCTAAATGATGTGTTTTTAGGGGGTACTTTACTACTAAAATTGAATCAAAGGGTTTTTTGCTAATATTTATAACACGATGAGTTTTTTTAACAGTTAGAGTAAACATAAGAGTGTTGAATGCAATTAACCCCATTTAATTTGAGTTTATTGAATTTGACACCCCAGTATTTACTCTAATTGTTCAAAAATCCCTCATGTTAAGAATATTAGCAAATTTCCTCCACTAATGATTTTTTTTAGCAAACAACCCCTAAATGATGTGTTTTTAGGGGAAATTTACAACTAAAATTGAATCATAGGGGATTCTTTTGCTAATATTTACAACACGAGGAGTTTTTTAACAGTTAGAGTAAACATAAGAGTGTTGAATGCAATTAAACCCCATTTAATTTGTTGGTAATGATTTGATTGTTAAAATAGGTATTCACATTGCATGAGAATGAGTATAAGAAGCTCAAAGCAAATCTTGGCAGTGAGGCCGGTAATAATTTAATCCTCTCGAAACACAATCTTCCAAAGGTAAACATTTCATTGTTTTCAATCGGCTTTTTTCTTGTCCGAAATTTTTTCGTACGTGTTGTTCGTATATTTTGTTCCTTTATACGTAATGGAAAATAATGTTTTGTGTGCAGACATGGTTAGTGGGAGATGGACTAAGCGAAAACGAACAAATGAAGGCGTCGAAAGGAACAATATTCATTCCTTACTCTCAATTCCCTCCGAAGAAAATTCGTAAAGACTGCTCGTACAACAACACACCGGCAATGCTTGTACCAAAACATCTTGAGAATGTCGACTCGTGTGAGGTTAGCTAAGCAAATAAGAGTTTATTGCAAGCAGCACCCTCGTGTTTACTCTAATTATAAATGAACCCCACATTTTATAAATATTAGCAAAATCCCCCTATGATTCTGTTTTATTAGCAAACTTCCCCTAAAACTTCACCTTTTAGGGGGTTATGTGCTAAAAAAATTAAATTGTAAGGGTTTTTTTGCTAATATTTATAACGTAGTATATAATACACAAATTAACTCCGAAAAATTAACGTTAATTTGTTATAAATTTTAATCGTTTTTCTATGATATTGTTTTGGCGAAATTTCTAAAATCGGAAAAGTTTTTGCGTTGATTGTTCGTTCGTTTGTGCACGATAGAATTGGTTGCCGAGAAGAGTGATGAGTGCATGGCGAATCGCGGGAATAGTGCATGCGATGGAAGGATGGGGTGTGCACGAGTGTGGAGATATGATGTTCGATATTGAGAAGATCTGGCAAGCTTGTCTCGAGCAGGGGTTTCGCCCCCTCACGGAATCGAAGACGAACTAGATATACTAGAAGTTTCTAGAAGTCTCTTCAGATGTCAGATTTGAGTGTTTGTGTACACGTGTCCTTATTTATATTCTCCCACATCGAACAATGTATAAGGAAAAAAGATGTGGTGATTTGTGTGTGATTCAATAATATATGTAGTACAATACTGTAATTGAATTTGTTTGTTAATATAATAATTATAATATTTTAAATTTAAAAAAAATGTAGCATCATGTGACACTACCAACCGGAGGAAAATTGATTCATTAACAAATTATCATTATGTTAGTTGTTAATTTGGTGGAACAGAGCTAGGGGTGCAAGTTGGAACGGAAATTCCAATTTCCGCCGGTTCCGATCCGAAAAGTTTCGATTTTGGAACAACTTTTTTCATTTCGACTTCCGAAATTCCGATTCCGAATTTTTCCGATTTTTTTGGATTGAAATTGGAATTATATATAAAAAAATTGGAATTTCCGATTTCCGATTCGATTTGATTTCCGAATTTAATTCCGAAAAATTCTGATTTTTTTTTCCGAAAATACACCTATAAATAATATATAATATTTATTTTTGCGAAAAATACACCTATAAATGTTTTATTTAGGATTTTGACAAAATGAATTGTTGTTAGAAGTTTTATTAGATACGTATGTTGTGTTTGTTTTTATTTGTTTTTTGAACTGAAATTTAGTAGTTATTAGTTTTACTTTTATCGACGTGAATATTCTTATTTTTGGAAAATTATGAATATTTTAGAAAATTTTCGCTAAGTTTTGAAATTTTTAAGCTTATGTGATTTCCGATTTTTTCCAAAATTCCGAAATTTCCGGGCCTTTTGGAATTGGAATGAATTTTTAGATTCCGAAAATTTTGAAATTGACTTTGTACTTCCGAAACTTTTTGGAAATTTTCCGAAAAGGCTAATTCCGATCCGATCCATCCGACTTTCACCCCTAAACAGAGCCCATATTTTACAGATTTATGTTTATTACAGTTTGACCCCCACCTGGGTCCCTGCCGCAATTTTTGATTCTTTCACAGACTTATCTTTGGAGGACAACACCAAGATTGATTATTTGCAGTTTGACCCCCACCTGGGGTCAAAACAGCAATTTTCGTTTTCTGCATTTACCTAGTTAGCTTGTTCTAGTTTTTTGCTTTCTCCTCTCTGGGGCATTTGTGTAATAGCTAGATAGGTCCCGTTCTGATTTTTTTATTACCAATGTACGGGTACTTCTTTTTTTCCTTTGTGTACGTTCACAAGGTTTTAACGAGGCCCCAAAACTCTTATTAATAATGGAATAATAAAATCTTTTGGCAAAAAAAAAAATCATTTATAAACAAATTGAAAGAAATAAAATAAAAAAACCGAAATTGAAATGAAAAGCTTGTTGCAAAATCAAATTTTTTTGAATTGGAGTTGACGGAATTCGAAAATTTCCAATTTTCAGTCACGTAAAATATAAAATACATAATAATATTGTAGTTATAAATATTAGTGTAATATTCTGAAAAAATTCAAATTTTATTTCGGAAATTAAAATTGGATCTGAAATTGAAATCTCATATTGATTTCAATTCTATTGCAAAAATAACTCGGAAAAGCTGAAAATCGAAATTTCAGAATTTGGAATGAAAAATACCGTTCCAAAATTAGAAAAATTTGGATTGAAATTAGCGAAGTTGAAAATATCGTTCAAATTTCCAGCTCTAGTTGAACTTAACCTTGATAATTGAAGTCAAAACATAGGGTTCGAAAAAATTATGCACATTCACTTTCTGTTTCTGTGTAATACATAAACTTATGTGGGTAAATTCATCGAAATTAATTTTTATTTATCAAAAAATAAAAATCATGGAATGTCATTATATAATAATATAATAGAGAGAAAAAATAATAATAAAAAAATTATTATAGAGAGGCATGTTTCCAAAATAGTGACCCATATTCAAGTCCAATAGTTATAATGGATAGCCCTAAATTCAAAATTGTGGGCTCAAGCCCAATATCTCTAGGCCCAAAACAACCAATTTTAGTTGATGCTTACACCAACTAATTTTAAACCATAAATCTATATTAAAGAAAACCTTATTTATGCGAAACGGATCCGTATAAGATCGTATATTCGTATTTTGTTTCCAAAAGCTTTTGCAAACTCCACGCTAGTGATGGCCCGCGCTCATGGAAAGTTAACCCTAGGTATAAATACCAACCGTCCCATCCTCGTGATTAGCAGTATATATGAGATTAGTTATTCACTAATACACTTGTGAATATGCAATCTTCAGTGTTCGATAACTGACTTGAACGTCGGTGGAGGATTTTTGCTGGAACCAAGTATTCACGCGCCAACATTTGGCAAGTAGTGAACAACAACAAGAAGTGATCATTTGAGATGAAGAATTAAAAGTGGGAGTTGGAATATTGTCACACATCATTTTTTTCTCCCCATAAATGTCAATTATTTTATTTTTTTCTTCCAATTAAGAAAAAGGACTAAAAGAGAAGCATAGTTTCTTGTTAAGGACTACCATGAAAAAAAAAATATAGTGTACTTAAACCTCGGCTATAACATGTATAGTAGAGTCACATGCATGCAAGGAAAAAATAGTGTTCCAACCCTAATTAGGGTAGACACGCTTCCCACAATTTAAAGGTGACAATTGGTTCATCCAAATCAACATTTAAATCTAACCGCAATTTTAATTTCAATTCCAAAATTTTCAAAATTTCGGTATTTATTGCGTTTCCAAATGTTTCGTAGATATTTGAAATATTTCAACATTATATGAATATATACAGTTTTGTAGATGTTACACCCGATATAATATATTTGGTGATCTTGAACCACTAATCTAAACACCAACACAAAAACTCATGTGTATGTGTGTTTTGTGGTTATTTATTTATATAGATTTATGATTCAAAACCACCCGATGTGTTACACCAGGTATAGCATATCACGAACCATATATATTGGTGTATTTTTTGGAAAAAAAAATCGGAAATCTCGAAAGTTAAATCGGATTGGAAATTTCAAATAGTTTTTTTTTACAATTTCAATTCCAATCCGGAAAAATCGAAGAATATCGGAAATCGGAATAAAAAAATTCATTCCGATTCTCACCCCCACCTTATTTTAATATTATTTTATTTTAATTTAAATAATAAACTCTAACAACGAAAGCGGTCGTGAGGTAATAAATGAGTTTCACATGTAATATTGTATAATTTCAGATATTTGGACTATGGCTTAATAATTCGAAATCAAATCATTCCTAAAATAAATGAAAATTACTAAAAATACCCCAGCAATAATTTGTACGTAACACCGCTCACTTTAGCACAGCAATAAATTATCTTACAATTTTTCCTATCTTCACATTAATTATTTAATTTATGTTCACATATTTAGCATTCTGCAACTTAGGTGCATTCCAATTTACTATAAATTACATGAAAATGGTAATTGTCGTACATTGAGAGACACACTTCACCTACATAGTCATAATAATTTTAACAGTGGGTAGATATATGCTGCATAAATTACTAATTTACATTTCTATTATTTATTTATTTATTTATTTATTTATTTATTATTATTTAACGTCTCATTGTTTCTAACTACTCAATTAATTAACTGCGGTTTTGAACAGGAAAATTTATTAGGGGAGGTGAGTTTTCTTATGATGTAATATAACGGTGTCTTATTCCATTTTCATGAATAAAATGGGACAAAATTAACCGACCAAGAAAACTACTTGTTACAAATAACATTTTTGTTTGACACGTATAGATAGTGACTAATTAATCTCGCTAACATTGTACTTGGAAAAATGAAATAGTTGAATAATTGAAAATCGAGATTATTCAGAAATTCACATTGAATGTTCTTTCTCACATTAGATCCATAATCAAAATTCAAAACACATGTTTGTAATTGTTCCAGAAGAAATGAAATAAAAGACAATTTAGAGCTAGGACAATTATTATATATTGTCTTATTCCATTTTCACGAATAAAATGAGACCAATTAATCGACCAAGAAAACTACTTGTTACAAATAACATTTTGTTCGACCCACATAGATAGTGACTAATCTGGCTAACATATAACTTGAAAAAATGAAATGGTTGAATAATTGAAAATTGAGATTATTTTGGAATTCACATTGAATGTTGAAATTACGCATTGAACTTCTGGCAGTAGATCATAATCAAAACACATGTTTGTAATTGTTCCAGAAGAAATGAAATAAAAGATAATGCAGAGGTACATAACAAATTGATATAAATATAATGTAGTTTTAGATTTATTTTTTTTCAACAAATTATCTATCATTTCAGAATTTTAATGATATATTAATTATTATTTTATCAATTTTGCCATCATGCTTCTAACTAATGGAAAGAGATATTACTAGAGAGAGTTCTATTGACATATTAATTATTATTTTGTTATTTGTGATTAAGATTTCAATTTATTAAATTCAAATACCTAACATGGCACTAAAATAATTAATTTTAGTTTCACAAAAATAAATCATCTAAATTTTTAATACTAGTTCTTTTTTTTTTTTGAGAGATAATATTAGTTCAAAAAGTACTAAAATTAATTTTCTTTGATGAGGTTACTTCTTTGTTAATAAATAAAATATTTATATTTTGCATGTGGTATGATAGTTAGGCTATATTTTTTTAATTTTTGTAATAACTTTTAAGTGATGAAATGATTGATTTAATGATATTATTAAATTAAAAATCATTTACTGATATATTAAAAATAGGTAATTCATTACCCAATCATATCAATCCACTAATTCCTTTATCTAATTAAATTCTTATTTTTACTCAAAAAAAAAAAAAAAATTGAATTCTTATTTAATACACGTTTTTTTCCCAATCATAGCCACCCGCCGACCGCCTATCTCTCCGGTCAATTACCTCAACCCCGCAATTCTATTGTGCATGTATGTATATGAATTATATGATCACTAAACATGTGTATAGTGTGTGTGTGTAATATATATATATATATATATATATATATATATATATATATATATATATATATATATATGGATTTACGGGAATTCGATGACAACGCTAGTGTGGTGAAGTTAGGATTTTATCACTTGGTGTCGAATATGTATTAAAATATAAAGTAAAAAAATTAATGAAAATAATGATTGTTCAATGAATCTAAGATGTAACTGCATGATAGACTTAATTATTTGAGAGTTCGGAAAAATTCAGATTTTTTTTTTCAAAATCAGAAGATAGGAAAAAAAGAAATTAGTATTTTTTTTTTTGCATTTATTTGGACTTCAGGTGCACTAAATAATTAAAAAGTTGACGGACTTAATAGATATAGAGGCGTAATACAATGTTTTTACAATTGAGGATGTCTCGGGTTCATCACTTCCCAAGGTTGGAATCGCCATTACTTCGAAGTCACAATTTGTAACTTCTTTATCCTACTTGTTAGATCCATTTATTATAGGAGGACAATGCAAAGGCAAAAAACTATACATGCATATATAGTAGTAAAAAAAAATTAAATTTTGAGGAGGCCATGCCCACTCTGGCCCTACACTGGCTTTCCCACTGAACAGCGCACCAATTGTTTTTTTTTTTCCTGAGCTCTTTGAATAAACAAGGATAAATAAGTAATTTTTCAATAATTTGACCATATAAAACTTTTTAAATTTAGTTCTGAACTATGGTATTTATATTGTAATGATAAATACGAAGCATTATATAAATCCATATAAGAATATCGAGAAAAATAAAAAAAAAAACATTGAAAGGACTAAAAATCATATTTACAAAAAGACGGGGGGGCCAAAACCCAAATTTACAAAATATATGTAAAGTTTACCTGAAATGTTTTTTTTTTCATGTCCGTCACTGTTGAGGAACATATCATATGTTTAGGTATTAAATTCTAATTATAAATGCGATTTGGTATTAGTAAATGATTAATGCAAAGTAGTTGGAAAGGTGATACTTCAAAATTCAATAACTCGTCACATGCAAATTCATGCTTAGAGAGAGGGTAGAATAGTCATTGTGAAATAGATTAATATCATATTAATTCACGTGGAGGTAATCTTTGTTAGAAATATAATTTTGAGTTTACTTTCTTAAAATAAATAATATTCAACTGAGTTGCGATTTCTTATTAACTTTTGAATGCATTTTGTAATTTTGAGACGTAAAATTACTAGATAAACTAGAAGATCATAATTCGTAAAAATACATTTTTAAGCCCACAAGTTTGTACCAATTTTACATTCCGTCCCCCATGTTAAAAAGAAACACACTTGGTCACTTATGTTTCAAAATGCAATACTTTTAGTCCTTCCCGTCAATTTTCCATTAGAACTAACGGAATCAAGCGTGTGTCCATGGCTGCTTTAATTGACGAAGTAACGGTAAATTAACAGAAATTACCAAAATTGCTAAAATGTTGAAACATGATGTAGCAATGTGAAACCGGTGTAAACTTGAGAGATGTAAACTATAATTTTCCAGATCGTAATTACATTAAGTCACCGTAATTTACATTAAGGTACAAGTCCAAACCGATTACCCTATCGGCCTATTAATTCACCAAATCACTATAATTTACATTCCTCCACTAAAAACTCGTCTGGTCAAGAGATGAGGGGCCTGGAAGCAAGCGATTTCGCCTTTGGATTCAAGTAAAAGTTGCACCTACGACCACGCAATAAAATTATGAGTAAGAAAGCAAAAAAAAAATAAAAAAATAAAAAAAAATAATCATAGGATAAACATGAAACTACAAATAAAACGAAAGGAATATTTTGTTTTTAAGCAATGATTGGATTTGGAGGGTGGGATTCGGCAGATTGAGAGGATGGGGGTTGAGAAAGAGTATGAAGCAATTAATCATATCAAGTTTGGGAATGGGGGTTGGCTCCCTTTTGGGAATTAAAGTTCAACGTGAAGTTGAAATTCGATAAATTAATAATCTCGTTTAAATAATAATTATTTGCTCTAGTCTCGACTCGATAAAAAATGTATTAAATTATTAATTCAATAATTTAATATTTCGTTAACCTAATATAATGTTGTTAGTCTCGAGTTTTGACTGTTTTAATTTATAGAGGTTTAATTGTATATTTATTGTATTTATATATTATATAAAACGTAAAAATAGGTATGTAACAACCTTAGATCAACCTTTCAATTACGTCGTAGTCATGAGTTTACATCAACATTATATGATATCAATCATTAGAAAATATGATAATCGTGAACCTATGTAACGGATACGGAAACTGCGATACTGGGAAACGAGTAAGCGGCACGTCCCAAGAATATGGATACGAAAGTTTAGGGGAAACGTATAAATATTAAAAGTATAGGGTTATATTTATAAATATGATATATAAATATATATAAGTTTTTATTTATATAGAAAATATTCTTTATATTTTCATACAAGTATATTAAAATAAATTGACAATAAACTCTCAATTGCAATGATC